TAAGACTACAGCCACCACTATGGAGTAAACTCTGGTTACAATTTGTGAATAGTAGTTTGTGGACGGTGGTGATCAGTTTGTTGTCCTCCATCAGGTGTCACCAAACTTGGGGTGAAAAAGTTCCAAGTGAAAATTGGGTTGGACAACCAGGTCAGCATCTCCATGTTCAAGAAACTGCATTCCAAGAGGTGATAATATATATATATACAAAATAAACATAATCCTATTGTGTGCCTGATGGGGCCCAAAATATGGTTTAGGCGTTTTGTAAGTGAATCTAAACATCATCCTCGTGTCTGTTGCAGGTGTCGGTGTGTAAGGTGTTCAAAGAGGTGACCCTCGAGATGACTGTGGACGAGGCTGTTCGGACAAGGCTGCTGGACGAGAGGCGGACATGAAGGAGAGAGACTACAGACTGACCTGCAGCAAAAGACAGGAACTGGTTTAACAGTGAACTGCCGTGCTGAGCTGCACTCACACGTAGTTAAAGACTTCCAGCTGTGAAGGAGACCATTCTGCACACAAATGAGGGAAATCTGAGACGCCAAGCTGAAAACTAATGTGTGGTTTCACTTTCACACCTTCACAGCATTGGACTGCTATCTGTAATACCAGAGTAATTGTGCATTTTATACCTACAGAGGTGCAGTTTTGATGATCTGGTTCTGTGCAAATATTTAATCTTAAAATATCAGTATTCTACTTCAACAGCTACATTTCAGAGGCAAATGTTGTACCTTAATGTTAATATATGCATCTGACAGGTGGAGTTACTAGTTACACTGCATGCGTATGTGTATACCTGATCATCACAACTCCAAGTCACTCCGAAACCATGGGCATTACTCTGCTACTATAACAGCCTTCTCTCTTCTTTGAAGGCTTTCTGCAAGATGTTGGAACCTGGCTGCAGGAACCTGTTCCCATTCAGCCACAAGAGTATTAATGTGGTTGGTCACTGATGTTTGGTGATAATGCCCGGCTCACAGTCAGCGCTCAGGTGCATCCGGAAGGTGTAGGATGGGGTCAGGGCTCTGTGCAAGCCGGTTACTGTTGAAACAGGATCTTTCCCAAACTGTTGCCACGAAAGTGGAAGCGCACTGATGTCTAAAATATAATTTTATGCCGTACCATTGAGACTTGCCTTAACTGAAAGGGACCCAACTAAACTAAAAAAAAAACCATCCATATATTTCTGGCCATATAGTGTATTTTATTGGACAGTAACACACGCATAAAATACCATCACCATGACAATATACATTTACCAGAACTGTAACATGATAACATGAGAAATTACAAACTTATTTCTATTGTGGTCCTCGTTGTAGTCTGACAAAGATGGCAAGGTAAGCCACGGATGACTAAAGGTATCCTGTACACTCAACCCTTACAAAATACAACCAAAAGACCGAACACATCCTAATACAAATAATATAATACATGTACATACAATTAAAATACACTGTAAGACTTAATAAAATCTTAGTCTAATTAGTAATAGTATATCTGTATATTGCAGATCCACATTTTAAACTTGCATAACAACTGTGTGTTTCCTTCTTTCTTTCTGGTACTTTCTGGTGCCTCTTCTACTTCCTCCTTAAAAGTTCACAAGGTCCCATTAAATTGGCCTTTTCACCTCAGACAGTATTAATAGGGAATATATTAGATGTATCCTTGTATACATCTAAGAGGCCAAGTACCTGCACTATGTCCAGACAACTGCTTTTCTCTGAAGTATTTATAGTGGTCTTTCGTGCTGACAGACATGAGAAGACGGTGCGTTAAAGGCAAGACGATGAACGGTGGAAACAATCTGTGGTTTTTATATCTGGTATTTTCTGGAAATGGTTCATTCTTTTTTGGTTTGGCGAAAGGCAAGTTTGTGTCTCTTTAAATTTGATTAAATAAACTAATTCTGACTTTTTGTTTCATGTTCCTCCTAATTGCCACATTAGTCTGCTGCATTTATCATAATTTTCTCATTTAGGACCGGAAGGCTGGTGGTTAAAATTAAATGCCAAATGCAGGAGCTTTGTCATTTTGGGTCGTATTTCAGAAAATGACCCCAAATGTGAAATGGAGTCACATAATTCCACTTGTTTTATCCTCTAAAAGCTCAGTGTGCTATTTGCTCCTATTCCAACCAAGTAATTTGTGTTTTTGGGATCAACAGACATATTTATTTTGGGCATGTACTTTTGTTTTGCTAAGGTCCAGTTTTTTTACATTCTAGTTTAATAACATCACTCAAAATGAGGCAGTGATGTAATGTTTGTTCGCTGCTTTTGTCCAGACTAAAGTATCTCAACAACTATTGAGTGAATTCCATGTAATTTTGTGAAGACTTTTCACAGTGATCAGACACCATGAGATTGATATTTTGTTTTTTAGTAAAGCGCCTTGACATCTATTAGATTGGACACTTTCCAGCGCCAGCATCGGGTCAAAATTGTAGTTTGTCCTGTACAGATATCTGCAAAAGTAATGACATTCCCTCATAGGCCTAAATTGGTGTTCGTGTTTAGTGCTTAGCAAATGCTAACAAGCTAATCTAACATGGTGAACATGATGAACATAATACCTGCAAATCAATAGTTACAGTTGCATTGACATTGTGAGCGTGCTGATGTTAGCACGCTCACAATGCTGTAGACTACCATTATTATAAAAGGAACGATAACCAAGCTCATTATTATTTGCTAGATTGATATACAGTAAATGTATTTCAGTTGAAGAACCTCTAACTTCATTATGTCCCCTCCACCTCTGACACAAAAACTTAGATATTGTCTATAATTTAAATTTCAGGGGATTTATATGTCTTAGTTCTCTAACCATTTAGAAGACACTTTTATAATGCAAAATCCTGAAAAATCTTTTTATCACTTCAGGAAAACATGAATCAGCTCTTACAGCAATTACCTACAAATCTGTTTATGACTTCATGTGTTGCGGTTACCCAGACATCAATGGGCCAGCTAGGAGGCTTAACATGTCATCACATTAACTTCCCTCCACTAGTGGACACATTATAAATACATATTAGACTAAGGTTTCATGAGGCTAATGGTGACTGTTGTTGCTGCCTTTCACAGACTGCCCTCTCTGTCATGTTAGTCTCTGTACTCATTCACATTAACGTCTGAGGTATTGACTTTGTAAGTCAAAGTGATGATCAGGAAATAGCTATCATCCAGCATGCAGTTAGATCTGTGTTTGTACTGTGAAGCTTAGCTTATATTCAGCTGTGTCATGGTTAGATTCTTAGTCTTGTTTGCTCATTTAATCAGATTTTTCCATATTTAAATAATATTGTCTACTTTCAGGATGCATTTAACTTAGAGAAAGATATTTTTTCTGATGTTCTCTCAAAATCAGGAGAATTTCCCAGTTGCTAAGTTGTATTCACCGCCACCTTCTTCTATTACAAAAACACAGACACAGTTCAAAAATGTCTTGCAGTGCATAGCCATTTATTGGTGCTGACAATGTTTGAGCATGGAGAAAGCTTTACAAGAACCACAGCAGCAAAGGCAGCTTTTTGCATGAAGACACCCTGACAAATGACAAGAAGATGCATTTCAGAAGTCACCAGTTAAAACTGAAAGAACAGTAAAATAATCTGCCAGTTGCCTTTTATTTCTATAGTTAACATAAGACATGACATGATTACAAGAAGAAAGGACCACTAGTTCAATATAACTTGATCCTTATTTATCAGATGATTTAGAGTTAAAAAGGACCATACCAATCGTTTTACAACTAATAAAACAAAAAAAAAACCATGTACACTTGTATTACAGCTAACGTTTTTGCTAATGTTTTCCTCCCTTCCATGCAGCCATTGCTTTCAATTGTCTGTGTAATCCATCCATAACAGTGAACATCAAGTCTGGATGTATTTGTGCTGAAGTTCCATTATTTGTGTGGTAATGACGTTTAAGTGGATATTAAGAGTCTGTATCTTGTTACAGTAAATTCACTTTAACACATATTCTTGCAGACTTGATGTGTACTGTGATGGCGAGCTTCAAGTTACTTTTCAGACTGTACGGAAATTAATGGAAACCAATAAGTGTAGGAAAGTAGGTCTAGCGTATAGCTAACACATGGAAAACTATCAGTATGGTCCTTTTAATACAGTTTAATACATTGGAGCCTGACTAATACAGGATTTTAGAGGCCAGAATAAATATCAATATTTGAGTTTATAAAAATCTGATGATGATTAATCGGCTGTTTTTTTTACTGAAAAGATTAGTCAATGATTCAGTTAGTTAATTGACTGAAAAATAAATCGGCAAATATATTCTTGTAAATGGATAATATTACAGTACTGCACTGAGCTGGACAAACTACGTAATGACAACGCTGTTTCTAAATGACTTCAAACGTATCTTTGGCATTTCTTGTTAGTCGTTAGCCAGCAGACACACCTGATACCATTATATATGTGATAAGATAATGTGTGTGTGTGTGTGTGTGTGTGTGTGTGTGTGTGTGTGTGTATTTGCTGTGAGATTTAGCTGGTGACTGTAAGACTATAAAGAAAAGAGGAGGCCACAGATGAGCCAGTTCTGCATTTGCGCAGCCTTCACTGCACATGCTCAGACTGCCACATCTAACACTGGCTGATGCACGACTCTGACTGGCAGCAAACATGTGATTCGACACTCCAGTGCAGCACTGACATGGCCACTTGACATTTCACTTAACATCTCTCAAATACAACCCACGTTCCACACGATGCACAAGAACACAAACCAGCTCTGGGTGGTGGTCAAAGTGCAGAACACGGACGGCATTTAAGACGATGAGTTTTTTTAAAAACAGGCTGTACAAAGAAGGGTACAAGAGCGACAACAATTCCATAGGAATTTAAGATGATTTTAACACATCTGTCCACCCCCCTTTATCTATCTGTACAGACTCTTCACCTCCCAGCACCTCAAACAGGGTGAGGGGATGCAGGGTTGTCCATCTTAATGAGATTCATGATTTCAGCATATTAAAAAAAGCCAGGATTCACAGGTGGAAGTGGAAAACCTGCAGCTCTGGAAGTTGATGACAGCAGATGATAGTTTAGTTCTTAGACGCTTGCGTAGATTCAAGAAACTCTTTCGCTGCAGAGGACAGATTTTGCACCAGCTGTCTAACCACACCCTCCTGCTCTTTGGCCCAGGATAGGCTGTCGTCCACGGCGACATTGACCGGCACACACACGGCTTCCTTCCGCAGGTCGGTCAGCCGGCATGCAGCGGCGACTCCGGCCAATCCCAGTAGCAGCAGGAGGAGGAGCTTGAACATCAGGCCAACAAGAGAACGCCGAGGTTTAGGAGCCGATTCCACAACAAGCTTTTTATCTGTTGAGATGAAGCGAGAGAGGGTGACATTAGAACAAAACAAACTCTTAAAAAACTATACCTGGGTTTTGATTCTAGGTTTAATTTTTTAACAACATGGCTCATGAAAGAGATGCTTTTTTAGCAAATGGTCAAATGTTGAATATCCCCCCAGAATGCATCGAAAAGCATCAGTCCTGATTTTGTTACGTTAACATTTCAACTACTACTCTACTTTAGTATTAAAAAACTACAGACTTGTATGTCTTTACTTTTATTTTGCATGTTTGTACATTTATTTATAATATTTTATTTCAGCAACCGCTGGTACTTAAGACTTTCGGTTCCAGTAATGTGCAAAATCTCTCATTTTGATACAGAGGCGCTGTTTTGTGAATTCAAACTTATATCATTCATCATCTTTGTTTACTATTAAAAAAGAAACATCTTAAACATTGGTAACTTCCCAATAACAGTGTTGAATGTTGGTGACATGGAAGGAGAAATAACTGTACTAGTTTTGTACCCTTTTTATTTTTATTTAATGTAACAAATACATGCAATCCATGTTAATTTTACATGGAGCTTTTAGGAAAGGCCTTTTTGTATAAACTTCAAACTACCTATCTCCCCTGCACAGGCTTTTGTTTACTGTAAATTCATGTATATCTGAGGTTATTTAGGTAAAAGTGTGTTTGTATATTTTTGAATACGTGTGATCAGCTGTCATTGTTAAACTCAGCATTCATTCAGTCACAGCACGGCTGCTGCCTCAGTTCTTAGTGCCACAGCAATCTCTGGCCTCATGTTATCTAAAAATAGAGCACTGCTATCAGATTGGTTCTCTGTTTTGGCAGATACTCTGAGTCGAGGTATCAGGAGAGAAAACGTTAGATTAGTGCATCCCAAAACTGCACGACTACCATATTCATTTAACAAAACGAGCTGAAATCAACCTAAAATCTTACATGACTTAAACTATTGTTACCAAGGTTTGGTCGATGGCCAACACAATGCTTATAATCTGTAGGGCAAAAACTTTCTGCCTCACATAAATGAATAAGATTTTACTTTCAGGGCTGGTCGTCATTCCTCATAATCAGTGGAGCGATTAGAAAACTAGCTAATAACATCACTTTTCAGAGGCAGCTCCTCATAAACATGCTAACAACTTGTTAAAAATAAAACGTATACCACAAAAAATATAACTGTGGCGTGCTTGAGCTGTAATTGTAGCTGTACTGTAATATGTAGTACTCTGAAGTCAGCTGTAATTGGCTATCTGGAAGTTGGGGCGTGGTCACTGCAGAGGCGCATTGGACAAGTAAAGACGCTTTAATCCCACCTGCTGCCTGTCCATTCTTTTTCTTCTTCTCCTCATTCTTCTTCTTCTGTTGCTCCCGTGCAGCCACGGCCGCCATCTGAGCGTTATACTCTTTCCTCCTCTTCTCCTTCTCCTCCGCCTTCTCCCGTTTACGAGCCTCCTTCTCTCTGGCCTCCCGCTCCCTCTGCTTCACCTCCTTCTTCCTCTCCAGCTCTGGGTGAAGATGCAGTCAGACAGACGGATCACAAGACGGACCACTATCACAGTCGTTCATAACAGGACATTAATAAAACTGTATTATCTGGTTTCCTGCAATAAACAAAAAGCACTTAGTCCTCAGAAGATAAAACTCCTGAGACAAGAAAAGCTCAATCATCATTATCTTGGCCACAGATAAAACTAGCTCCACCTCGACCTGCTACAATAGTGTAAAGCTGCTTACATGTTAATGCAACTAAGTATTAATCTAATAATGTCATATATAACAGTTTATCAGTCACAGTCTGTGGAACTAGTACTTGTGGAAGTACTTGACAAGAACTTTTTAAATTTTTAAATATACTGTGCTGTTTAAATGCAGGACTTTAACTTGTTGTGGAGTACTTTCACATTGATATATTGGTACTTTTACCAAAGTACTTCTTCCAGCACTAGTGAATGGCACTGTGTTACACACTTTGATCAACAGGGCAGGTTTGATGAGATACAGGAGTTTCTGCTGTCATTTGTTTTTATTTAAATCCAAAACTTTCTGATCAAAGTGTTTAGTTCTTGACAGTCTTCTACACTCTGTGCCACATACACATTTTGGTCTGTGCTGTACCCAAAAAGTATTACAGATGCAAAATGCAGTTGATCAACTCCATCCACAGACGTCTCCTGAAAAACACATTTCCCACCTTTTTCCCTCAAAAGCGTTTCTCTCGTACGCGATCAACCTCATCCTGAATAGCTCTCATGTGCTCCAGAACCTGGAAGAAAATGACCTTTAGCTTTAGATACTGTAGACTGCTTTACTGATCTCTTCTCAATCATTCTTATCCATCTATTTCTCTCTCCCTTTCACCTTGGAGGCACACTGTTTGCACTGTTTCTCATCCAGACAGTCTCCTGCTGCCTTGGCCAGGCCGGCCTCTAGCGGGTTATCCTTCAGATCCAACCACTTCAGACTCTGAAAACCGACACACACATAGACTGAGTAAAATAAATACTGCCAAGAGGTCAAAACACATCATCACACAAATCACAGATCATGTAAGTAAAGACATCATCTTTAACAACATTTGAGTACTAAAGTATATCAGCAGAGGTTGACACCATATAATAACCATATCATATAGGAATATATAGGAAAAGTTCAACATTTTGAGAAATATGATTATTCACTTTCTCACAGAGTTTGATCAGAGATTGATAACACTCATGTCTGTATGCTAAATATGAAGCTACAGCTAGCAGCTGGTTAGCTTAGCATAAAGACTGTAAATAGCTAGCCAAGCTCTTTGCAAAAGGTAAAAAAACACCCTCTAAAGCTCACAAATTAGTTTGTTAATTACCAGTTTGGTTATTGTATGGATTAAGCAAATGAGAGATGTGTTAATAGGTGAGCTTAGAGGAGTTCACCTTTGCACAGACCCAGGGTAGCTGTTTCCCCCTGAGTCCAGGCTTTATGTTAAGTTGAGCTATTTGGCTGCTGGTCTAGCTTTAAATGTAACCGACAGATCTGAGAGTACAATAAACAGAATTGTATTAAAGATTCCTTTTTATACTGCATCAAAAAATGTACAAAAATAAGCACCTAATAACTGGCCGGTGTCAGTCTTGATATTACACTCACTGATGTTGCAGCTTTATGTTAATAGTTCAGTACAAATGTAATATGAGCAAACAATGCTTGTGTCTGGAACTTACCCTGAGCTGAGAGAAGCTGACGGGCAGCACAGTCAGCTTGTTGTTGTACAGGTCCAGATGTTGAAGGTTGGCCAGGTTCCCCAGGTCATCTGGCAGACAGGTCAGCTGGTTTTTACTCAGATCCACTTTCACCAGGTGGGTCAGGTTGCAGAACTCTGGCTACATGAAAGAAACCAAGTGACAATGACAATGTCTGACCTGCAATGGAAATCTGCAGGTCAAATTTAAGGTTAGCAGGTTAAGCAGGAGGCAGCTCAACCTGTAATCCCAGAGTTTGAGAGGGACTGACTCCTCTATGACCAACTGTACACTTTTACTTATTTGTCTCACACATCACAAATTTACCTCAGAGGGGTTTAAAACTTAACCAATCTCAGTCTCCAAGGACAGACAAAATTCACATTAATCCTTCATTCATTTAGACAATCCCCTAAATTTAGTGTTATAAACTTTCATTATATGTAGTTTATTTATTTTAATCTAATTTCTAAAATCTTGTCTGATTTTTATTGCTTATTATTGTTTTTAATGTCATTCTCATGCTTTTCTTTGCCTGTCTAAAAGCACTATGACTTGCCTCTTGTGTGAAATGTGTTACTCAAATTAAGCTGCCTTACCTTTTAAATGAAGAACACGTTTGTTTTGCAATAATTGAGACTACTTTTGAGAAGATGAAAATTTGTGACTGCTTTATATTCAATATAATGAAAAGGCCAGGAAGACTTGACTTCAATTTAAAACTATCCCAGATTTCACTTTACAGGTACATTAAGAGGTTTGCGGGCGTGAAGTTGTTACATACCTTTAGTTGTCAAACTGATTACAATTTAAACACTTTAAAAATCCCTTAATAACTACTTAATTTAATACATTAATTTCTCTAAAAATCCACAATACAAAGCTTTAAGCTATAAAAGTTGAATGTAAAATGTTTTTAATTTAATTTTAATTTCTATTAAGTACATTTAAGGGCTCAAGTGGTTCCCAAATTATGGTCCCGAGATAAATATGAGACGTTATGAAATAATTATAAAGGTATAAGAAAGAAGAGGAGTCAATGTCCTATTTGTTTCCCGTATTTTGTCTGGATACTTTAATCTCTCCGTGCCTCTAAAGATACTTAAAACTAAATAATCTAAGTAATATCACTCTACACTCTCTAGGTATATCGTTATTATAAGGATATGGACACATTTTGGACCTAAAAGATCAGATGTGTGATCCTACAGCTCAAATTTGGCTTCGAGGTACAACTGAAAATTTAGCCCAATTTGTAGAGCATACCGATATATATTGTGTATCGAAATTCAGCCTAAAAATACCAGGATGTGATTTTTGGTCCATATCGCCCAACCCTGACACTCTCACACTGAAGCCATAACACATGGCTCCAGTTTAAGGAGTCACAAGCCAAAAAAAGCAGGGCTCTAAGGGCTAAATGGTGTGTTTAGTACAGTATGATTGTGTTTATACTTACAGGAAGAGAGATGATGTTGTTGCAGGACAAGTCCACAACAGTTGCTTTGGTAAATAAAGCCTGTTGGGATAGATTAATATCAGGCTTAACTGTCCATTCAACAAGCATTTTAACAAATAAAACAGCATGACAGCCTTGTGCTTAAAGTTACAGTGCAATGTTTAATCCGACTTCATGATCACACACAAACAGAGACACAGACACGTAAGGTTAACCTACCAGCTCTCTGACTGGCACCTCAGTGAGGTTACACAAGCTCAGGTCCGCTTCTTTCCCACTGATTTTATCCTTCAGGTTCAACACTTTGCTGTTTTTACTCATCCTGGGGCCTGTGAGAAAACACACCGTAGAGTTAATGTGGAAAATAAACACTGACACGAGGGGATTTCTAACCAATTTTAACAGTTTTTACTGCAGGTACTTTCGACTAGCAGCAGAGAGCAGGAAACCCCTCTAACATTAACGTTTTACGAGACCCGCTCACCTGTTATGAAAGCTGTGACAAAACTGTGTTCAAGTGCGACAAACGGAGGAAAGAAAATGAGTGGTCCAACTTCTAAATGTGAACAAAGTTAGAGGAAAAGCTCTGAAACGTTGGCGGGTCTGTCTTTTTGGCAGCACTGACTGCCACAATGAAAATCCACGTCACTGATTGAACGACAGCGCGGTGACGTTGAAGCAAACAGCGCCGCCTGCAGCCCAGGAGGACACACAACACACTACAAACATTAAATACACAGGACAACAAATAATTATAAACAAAAACTAATTTTACCAGTAGTATCATCAGATAGTATTGAATAATTACAAACATATTGATGCATTAAAAAATTGTTAGATTCAAATATTATAATTACATTAAACTTATTTAGCTGATGTTTTTATCCAAAGAATTTCAACCATATATAACTGCAAAAATCATGCCAGTACATCAAATATGCTAAACTGATTCATCGCATACTTTAAACAATAAGAGATAGATTTTCATCTAACCAGAAATGCAAAAAGCAGTAAAGTGCAGCATAATATAAATACCACTGATGGTATATATGCTAAGATATAGATAGATATGTGCAGTGGTTACAGTGGACACTGCAGGTATATGTATTGCATAGTGCAGTTGTGAGTAGGCCACAAATAATGCTACTAGTAGACATTATGCTGGAAGTATGATAAGAATACGGTGTCTACACTAGATCAGAAATAAGTACTATAGACATTAGTATAAATACGAATTCACTATAGATCAGATATGTTTAGTATAGACAGTAGTATAAATATGTATTGTATGTAGCTTTATGATATGTATGCAAGACTATTCTGAGTGAACAGACCTGAAATTAACAGGCATATAAGTAATCATTTGCAGAATCTGGAGAGATGCTGAGTCTCGTGTGGTGTGCACGCTGGCATCTTGGTCATGATATTTTCAACCTTCTTGTTTAATTGTAGTGCCATATTGACTTAATTGTCCAGGAATAGGTTTGGAGTCAGCGCCTGTCTTTTTTATGAATGTGGATTTAAAACTAATTGCACAAAGAAAATCAAATCTTTGTCCAAAATGCCTTTGTTGGACCATTTGCTCATAAACTAAAGTAACATTTCACCTGAAGATTTTAAAAGACTATACTCGAGTATTTGCAGTTCCACTTTCTTTCTTAATATAAAACTCGTATCTAACTTGTGTGTGAATGTTTTTTGTCTGTCCTGTATATGTTTATTCTTGTACACAGGTCTCTCCTGAAAAAGATGTCATGATCTCAATGATACTACCTGATAATATAATGGATTAAATATATAAATAAATTAATATCCACAGAAATCACAAGAATATTCAATATCCTGTATTAATCTTACCAACACATTTTTATATCTTGTACCAAATTTAAAAAAAATGACACAATATTTATGGACTTTGTCTGATGGACTAGAGGATGGAAACATTGTCAAAAAAGTGACTACATGTGATGGACATTGTGAAAACATTTTTTGTTTTCTTACTAATACAATATTTATCACCCGTTGACCAAGTTTCATGCCACTTTAATTCTCCATTTGGAATACCCAAACACCCCGAACACCCTGTAGTTTCTAAGAAAATCTTATTTGAAGCATCCGTGTGTAACTGGCAAATTAAATTTAGATTTTTTTTCAGGAGAAATAGCTTGTTGTATTTGTTGTTATTAATGTGTTTGATTATTGAGACAGACAATACAACAATCATTCCCACTTAAAGCAACAGCTGGTCATGTGTTAAAGTGTTAAATTAGGCAGATTAATCAGATAATCCCCACTTGTATGATTCCTCACTTCAAAACTACAAGAGTTGAGAGTATTCTGGGGGAATTAGGATTCATTTCATGTGGGTCTAATTAACATTGTTAAATTAACATTGGATCTTGTGACTTCTTAAGTGAAGTGAGTAGGTGGCTTCTCTTAGTGATGAACCCTCAGAGTATTTTCTGTAGTTCCCCTCAGCTCTGAGGAGCATTTTAGCATCCTTCAGCTCATTGGTTTGGTTTTCTGGACACAACCTTACTATTTTGGTTCCCTCACACACACATACGAAAAAATAGCGCGAATAGGTTTTGTTTTATTGTTTATTTCTGCATCACAAAGAGTCTGATACATGTTTTCAGATATCAGTACTGTTATTCCATTGTGAATACATAAAGAAGATTAATGCAGATAGATATATGAACAACCTGTTACGTTAGCACCTTGGCTCAACAGATGGCAATATTGGTTTGTAGGTCGTTCTTTGGTTTAGACTGAAATATTTCAACATCTACTGGATAGATTGGCACAAAAGCTTGTACACCTAATTACGGTTCCCAAGAATGAATCCTACAGACTTTAGTGATCCTCTGAACACATGTAAGCATGCTAAGACGCTAATCTGAAATGGTGAGCATTGTAAACTTTATATCTACTAAACATTGACATGTTAGTATTGTTATTGTGAGCATGTCATCATGATAACGTTGGTATTTATGAATTTGCTTGAATAGCATGCTCATTTTATATATTTGGAAAATAATATCCGTTACTGCATACTTAAGATATATATTTATCTAGAACAAGGTGCAATCTTGCTAACATCTGCATGCATAATTAAACACTTGACATAGCACTTTCTCACATATTAGTGTACTAGAATATTACAATACAACATGTGTGATTGAAAATAGCAGATGTGTGTGATTGCATTACAGGACGGATTAAATATTTTCTGAACAGCCAACTACATCTTTCCTCATAAGCTTTTCTAGATCAGTAGAACAAGGTGGGAGTGTGTGTGTGTGGTCAGTGACTTAAGTTAATGACACCAAACTGGGGGCAGAGACTTTGTAATCACCAAAGCTTCACATCTGCATAACCTGAAGGGCCACATGACTTGTTGTCAATCATCAGAATAAATTTTCCCAGTAGGTTCATAGTGCTGATGTAGGACTGATCACCAAAAATGAACGCATTACAACTTCTGGGAACTGTAACTCAATCATTCAGTATGTTTCACTATTTAGCACAATTATTCTTCTGCATAAGTCCAACTGATACACATACAGAGTAAAAACAGACTCGCAGCTATGACATAGAAAATGAAAAAGGCTTTGTTGATTCTTTTAGTCACTCTGGCCCAGTAGCCGGGCTTCCCTTCTTCCTTCTTGCTGTTGAGAAGCACGATCAGTGTTTTCAACACTTCCCTTAGGTCATCTGAGAGCTTTTCAGAGTCATGGCACTCCTCTGTCAGTTTGCTGCTGCTACCCTGCAGAAGTAGTTTAATAAACTGTGGTTAAAAAATGTGATAATGCTAATCCAGCTGCTGCATTTGAAGTTCACATTTTTGTGTCAATTGTAATATGAAAGGTATCTGGCTCTAGATATCTAGATTTATTTTAAACCTCAGCCCCGATACAAGTTCTATGTTCTGCAGAATCTCATTACAATAGTGGAATCTACAAACGTAGAGGGTATTATCCCACCTATACAATGGCCACCTCCCAACAAAATACATATCTATTTATGTCTGTGGAAAGTATTCTAGCATATTTTTTTAACTGTGCATAGCGTGTGTGTGTGATGTGCCAGTCCTCAGCACAATTGGTAGCTTGGCTTGGTGTATACACGAAAGAAAGGGGATTGGAACTTACCAACTATGTGGACACTCATTAGCTATTGTAGGCTGTGAACAGGGCATGGAAGTTTCTACTGGTTCAACTGAGGTGTCATTCAAAAGGTCAACGTGTGGCAACTTTTTCTTGTTTACATGCTAAATACAGTTAGGCTAATATAAAACAAAGCAGCAGTCTGTGTGTATACATAATAATACGTTTTGTACTAAATATTTGACTGAACTGGATTGTCTGGACCTTTGCGAATGTAACAAGGCCATTTTTGTCGGAAGGTAATCTATCGGTGGACCACGTCTACATTTTACTCTTTGGTGTACCGGGGACCAATGTTCAATAAATATTTGATTTAATTCATTTGAATCATGAACAAATTAGCACCTCATTTTTCTATTCAGATATTTATTTTGTTGAGGAAACAGGACAGAAAAGGATTTAAATTGTATTTATTAAAAACAGATTTTATCTTAATAGTATTGAATGTTCTACCTCAGATTTGTGAAGTGATCCAATGTTTGGCATCAAGTATTTGTTCTGACCATAAAGAAAAGTTTAAAACCACAATTTAAAAACTTTAACTCAGGAGCAAAAATCAGCCTTTAAACTTGAAAGACATTGACATTTATCCTGATAAATACTGATATCGAGTCATGTGACATTTTTATCACGATAACATTTTTGGCCATATTGCCCAGCCCTATGTATCAGCCCCTTTTTTTCCACTTCAAGCAGTGATTATAGGTGGTTATATGTTTTATGAATTGTGTTTGGCAACATTTGTCAGGGTCTGTGATCAAGTTCAGTGATCAGTTTGACTTTTGTTTAGTGTACTATAATTTTTCTGAGAGAAAAATCAAGAGTGCAGAGTATATACATTAACCCAGTAACTCTGTCTCTAATCAGCCACCTATTTACTGGTTACTACTTTTAATTGTATATGTCATTCTGTATTTTAGTGCTGTTCATACTGTTCATACTATTATATTGTCATATTGTGTATACTGTATCATATCCACCTTCCTCAAGTACATAGCACCTGCACATAATACTTATTTATTCCAGCATCCTTTGCACCATGCTCCATCACACTGTGTATGTGTATATGTGTATATGTGTATATCAAATCCACCTCAGACATGTACATAATAATAATAATAATGATAATAATAATTTGCTCCTGCATCCTCGGCACTCTGCTCATTGCACTATTGTCTCAGTCTGTGTATATTGTTTTTTTGGTTTAGTGTGTGTATGTATATGTTCCGTATACTGTAGTTTGTATCTGATTATATTAATGTATGAGTAAGTGCATCATGAGAAATGTACGATCCAAAGCCAAATCCCTCGTATGTGTACACATACCTGGCAAATGAAGCTGATTCTGATTCTGATATTATCTCTAATATGAACTCAAGTTATTGCACACACATTATGCATCTGGAACCTTTTCTGTGTCTAAAATATTTTTGTTTGTTTGATTTTTAAACATGCTAACGTAATGAATACAATAGC